TCGACTGTGATTGGTCGATTTGCTTGCAACTGGCGACATGCGATCAATGTAAAACGGGCTTTACGGAAAAGCTTGTGCGGTGGCCCTAACTTTAAGGTGCCATTACATGGCAGCATCGAGCATCGATCGTCTGCGCAGAAATCATTGCGCAGGAATCTAAATGAGATAGATTCCAGCTTCTTGCGGCTAAGAGCATTATGAGTGATATGAATTCGGTCGAGATAAAAAAAATTATGTTCTGATACACATTACTAATACTGAAAATTGATATTTATTTACATTATACACAATAGATATTATTATTATTAAACAAAATATGTATAAAACGTTACTATCCCCCAGCAAAATATTAAAATCTAATCAACCCATACAGCACAGAACGTTGCAGCAATGTTACTACAATGTTGCAATGTTGCTGCAACGTTCTGTGCTGTATGGGAAGGATTATGGGATATAATTTTCATTTTTTTTCCTGCATGTTTATAATATACTGCTCCTTTAAATCATTTCCTACTTTTAACAATAGTTTTTCAAACTGTGTCGTTTTGTCATTTGTGAATCCCTTTTTGTGTCTTATTTATTTGAATATTTCAACCATCCAAAATCTTTTGCCGCATTTGTATTTTAATTTAATTTTAATTTACATTGCCAGAGTAGTAACGTTTCATAATATATCTTTGACACACACACACACACACACACACACATCCGTTATATAATAAAATAAATGAAATATAATTCTGGGCAACAATATTCTGCGCAGACGCTTAACGCTCGGCGCTTGACGCTTGACGCTGCCATGTAAAGGCACCCTTACATGGCAGAATGGAGCATCGAGCGTCGAGTTTGCGTTTACACAGAAATCATTGCGCAGGAATCTAAATGAGATAGATTCCAGCTTCTTGCTGCTAATAGCATGATAAATAATATGAATTCGTCGAGATAAAAAAAATTATGTTCTGATACACATTACTAATACTGAAAATTGATATTTATTTACATTATACACAATAGATATTATTATTAAATAAAATATATATAAAACGTTACTATCCCCCAGCAAAATATTAAAATCTAATCAACCCATACAGCCCAGAACGTTGCAGCACCTTTGCAGCAACATTATA